AGACGACTCAAAGTACTTTAAAGTAAACAAACGCACCAATGAGTGTGTTTCTGTACAAGACAAGATGGGCAACTGAAATTTAATAGCTCCAAATGTGTTTCACGCAAAGGAACCTCTCTCCGATTCGATTATAAAATTGAAAATGATCCTCTGTTTCATGTAACGTCGAAAGAAGATCTTGGAGGTTCGGTTACTATTGACTTTCAGTGGAACCAGCACACAAACAATGTTATCTCTAAGTACTAAAGGGCATTGGTATTTCTTCGAAGACCCACCTGTCGCGATATTAACATTGACACCAAAAGACTTTGCACCTACCTTTTTTTCAGTTGTCAACTGAGTTATGCTCGTGAAATCTGGGCACCACAGTCTATAAGAAAGATCTCTAATGTTGAAAGTCTTTAAAGTCGAGTTACCAAATTATGCTCAACTTAGGTCAGACGGATTTAACCTAAAAGCTACAAGGAGAGACTTATGAAAGTGAACCTCTTACCTATTTCTATTGTTCATGAAATCAAAGATCTTCTTTTCTACTTCAGAAGACGATTAAGTCACTACAGCTGTACAATATCTCTCTTAATGATTCTGTGCAGCAGAACATCATCTCTCGCTCCACGCGGAACAGCTGTGTTTTAGATTTGTCAATTCCTAAGTACCGCACTAAATTCGTAGTTATTTTAATCGTTTACTTTGTTGTGGAATTATCTGCCAGCAGTATAACTGTGCCTTGACTATGTCTTACGACGTCAACATTTTCAATAGCTGGAAATTAGTCTTCGCTAAGTGTTGCGCTGTACGTAACATTGTAAAATATAATCTATGCTGTTATTAGAGTTACCGTTTATGTCTTTTATAACGCTCATGATATTTTTAGCCTTTTTGGAGACATTAAATAATTAAACTAAAAGTTGTCTATGGATAATCTAATAGACTCAGTGTACCTATATAGTCATAAAATAAATCATTCTTTGTATTTTAAATTTATAGCTGTTTATGGCTGATTTAATAGATTCAGCATACTTTTATAGTCATGTCTGTAAAGTTCTATAGAGCCTCGCTCTTTTGTGTGACCCTCGTTAACATCGAACCAAAGCATTTTCTGCTTGTAATTTTGGCAAAGGACCAAAATTGATTTCAGGAACAACTGCGGGAACAGACAGTCCCAAGAATTTTGAGATCAGGGTCAAGACATTATCTAGAAGCGACATCACCAACAACTATGCCAGAGGTTCATACCTTCAACTTTGTGTACAGAGCTACAACGCAAACCACAGTTTCCTGAACCAGCGGAAGAGTTAGTGCCAGATACGTCAAGGGAGGATATACCTGTAGCTGAGTGGCAGACTCCCCACCGTTAGGGCCACTGTCGCCAAATTCATCACTTAAAAACTGAGTAGTACTCGCTTCCAGACGATGCAGCCTCTGAACAGGTCTCCTTAGACGTCCTTTCTGTGGCTTAAGGGTTACAGTAGAAACAAGGCCATCTTTTCCAGGAACCAACTCGTCTCATTGGCCACTTACCTCTTGACCTCTTCAGAAATTAGCACTGTCTCTGATCTTGAGCGCAGTGGCTGTTCACACACCCACTTATATCTGACTGATAACTGATGCAGGTACTCTCCTCGCCTGCGCTGTCAGAAATGGTTAAGAAACTTCTGCTGATACAGTTATCGCCGCCTCGTTGTACCTCCGTTTGCTGAAACTGCGTCTGCAATGCCTGGTAAGCTAAACGCTGACCTTCCAAGTGCAAGGTGAGTCTGTCTGGTCAATCACGAAGCAGGTCCTTGTGCACACTCTGTATGATCCCTTTACCCACTGGATTCCCCATACGGTAAGATAATTGGATGTTTCATACCCTCAGGTAGGTCCAAGTACTGCAATCTTCCTCTTACCTGTAGCAACCGATCTCTCTTGTCAAAGTAGGGATCCGACTTGAAGATAACACTGGTGTTTTGTAAAAGAGAATTTTCCTTCAACCTTTCACACTGTGCTTGATACACCTACATACATACATACAAACATACATACGTACATAAATTTATTTTATTTGTGATTGTAGAGTAGAACATAGTGTTAGTATCTCCGATCTACATGATATAAAAACCGAAAAGATCCAAAACTAATAAAGGACATAACGGCTTAACTTATATTTTAGCTACACTGATACAAGAATTTACATAACAAAATATCATTAAGATCTACAATTCGACATTCTCGAGGGAAATGAAAAAACAGCAACTCTTAAAGAACATAATCTATGATATTGCGTTTAAAAGTGGCAAGCGTTTCGGACATTCTGATATTATCGGCCAGGTTATTCCAGGCATGAGCGGCAAAGTATTTAAATGATCGCAAACCAGAGGTGGTAGTCTTAACATGCGGTATTTCCAGCTTGTCTTAGCCTCTCAAATTATAATCTGATACACGCCGCTCTTGAATGTAAGCTCGAAGGTAAGGCGGGGCCATTCCCTGTAAACATTTGTACAATGTCAACATAATGCTTTGCACTCGTCCTGCCTCTGGGGTAGACATATCAAGTTTGGTAAGTAGATCCTCATAACTGCTGGATGAATCGTTTAAAACTACTCTAAGTATCTGCGTATTTAACTGCAATAAAAAAATGCCACACATCGCTACAATAACAAAAAACGGGTTGTATAAATGCATTATAGAGCTTTAACCTAATTTGTCCTGTTATCAACTTTCTAAATCTTTTATAACTTGAAGTTGCAAATTTACTTTACTGCACAAATTTGTAACGTGTTTATCAAATGTAAACTTAGAGTTGTTAACACCCAGTAAATCAATATCATCCCATCGGGTGATCTCTATCCCATCAACAGCAAGTGAAAACTCATGATCATCTCCCAGTACCATTAACTGAAATTTGTAAGGATTGGCAATTAAACCGTTGTGCTTGAACCAGTCCACTGCTATAAAGAGTTCATTATTGAGTTGGGTGCGCAGAGCCAAATGATTAGTATCAGAATAGTACCGTTGCTGATCATCAGGATATGCGTTAGGATGAGCTCCAGTTATAAATTAGGCCTGGTGATTGAGAAATACATTATATAAAACGCAGCCTTGTGGTACCTCTCTACTTGTGAACTCCAATGACGACACAGTGTCTTCGACCGTAACCTGCTGTAACCTATTCTGAAGATAGTCCAGAAGAAAAGAGCAGCTCAAATTATCAAGGCCGTATGCTTGCAGCTTCTTGATAAGAAGTTAATGAGGGAGACTGTCAAATGCCTTGGATAAATCCATTGTCACTAGCAACGAGCTCCCCTTTAACACGACTTTTCTTCCACTCCTCCACAATAAACAGTATAGTTTGACAGCCATGATGTCTTCTATAAGCTGACAAGAAATCACAAAATATTTTCTGAAAGTACGACGTCAGCTGTGACGCAAGAATCTTCTCAAAGACATTATTGAGGGCTGGAAGCAAAGTCATCTGTCTAAATAATGCTTTTTCATATCAACAACAGAGCTCTTAGTCAGAGGGGTTGTCTTCTTCCATTCTGAATGATATTTACACTGGGAAATAGCATTGTTGCATATGACGGAGGGCGGAGCAGCAATAATCTCGGCTGAGACCTTAAGTAGTTTAGGTGTAATGCTGTCAACGCCAGGTGATTTCTTGACTCTCATTTCCCTCAATACTTCTTGAACATGAGTAACATCTGCCGTTGCAGCTCTCCGTACCAGCATAAATTGGCGTCGTTTAACTCCTCGACTGACAATTCTTAGCAACCTGAACTAGTTCCATCATCTTGAGTAAGGACTGCTGCAACTCCACCGTAACTCCAACGTCATCAGTACCAGTAATGCAATCGTCCACGTACATGTTTGACAGGACTTCTCTTGATGCATTAGGAAACTCTTCTCTGCATTTCATCGCGTGACTTTGAACTGTGGCAATTCCGAGGAATGGACTTCAATTAACACCAAATGCTAATCTCTGCTACCTGTAGATTCTCGGTGGATCGTCACTCTTTAGATCCCTCCATAGATATCGTAGAGCGTCCTGGTCTCTTTCGTCAACTTTGATCTGGAGGAACATCTTCTCAACAACAGATACAAGATTAGGTTGAAGTGCTGGCCCTGAAAGGATACAGTCATTGAGTGTTACCTCATGTTCATCATAAGCTGACGCATCAACACGACACTTTGTAGTTTTCTTGTCCACTCTGAAGACTGCGCGAAAAGATAAATACCTGAATTTCTCGTTACCATCAACTGCCTCCTTTACCTCTACAGCATACCTCTTTTGTACATATTGGTTGATGGCATCCTTGTATGCATTGGCTTTCTCTAGGTTCCCTTTAAGGTTTTTGGTACAGTTTTTTGGAGACCATACCGATGTTTTTCAATCGCCTTTAAAGTAATTTTGTTCTTGTCCGATTACTACAAACTTTTCTCCAGTGATTGACTATGAATTGACGTTTGCCAAAATGCAGTTTTTATTAAAATAGATATCACTATGACAACAATAAACAAAAAAACTTTGAAATCGATAAAATGCGAATTTTGGGCGATTTAGATCTGCTACTGAAAATCCGATTCCAGGAACTTATATTGTGCTGTTTAGCAAATAACCTCCGTGAGAACTAAAAAATTATGTATGTTTCACGATGGTCGGTTGCTATATTGGAAGTCCTAATAGACTATGCTAAATATGTCCTTTATTTGCAAAATTAAGTCACAAACTCCTTGGATTTCGGATAAGGTCGTGAGATTCTTTCAGGTCTTGTGACAACTTGCGATCTTTTGGCATTAGAGTATGCAAGACCATTTGAACCAGAGACCTCCGGCGTACCTCTTTCAAGAAAAGACTGTAGTGAAGCTTTGGATCTGATAAACGTCCTTGTCGGTGACGTCTGATAGACTCCAGGCTCTGATGGTGTCTTGGCGGAAATTGCAAACTCAGGGAATATATCCTCATTTGACATGGTAGGACCCTGGTGGGGAGCATTTGACAGGGTTGGAGGCTGTTGAAGATCTGTAGCTAAGAGAGTCGGTGAAGAAGCAGCAGCAGGCGACTGAGCTGGAGCAGGTTCTGGAACAGCTAAAATATGTTTCCGGTTTCTGCGGTACTCCTTTACTCCAGTTTGCACGACGTAGGATCCTTGCTCTACAGCTGGTTTCTTAACAACGCCACTTTTCTCATAACCTTTCTTAGTTTGAAGTCTCACAAGCTGTTGTGAATAAAGAGAGCAAGATGCTGGACATGCTGATTATCATAAGCTGAAGAGGCATTTAAAGTACTGGCTGCCTTAAGAGTGAGATGATTTGTCACAGGAATAGTGAAACTGGAACGACTGGACATGAGTCGCCGGGCAGGAGAACCTAGTGTTTGGTCTTTAGGAACATTGCGTAGATTAAGGAGGCCAATTGAGGGACCAGAACCGTTTTTCGTACCCTTGCAAAGCAGGTTTAGCCGTATTCTCGGCCAGGCTATTGGATGATATAGACTGCTTGCTACGTGCTCAAAGGGCCATTCATTAGCAAAACGTTTAGATTCCCTGCTTAAAGATTGTGGACCATTGTCATTAAGCACTTGCACGCTTCACCTTCTCAATTACAATTTTGGTGGACGAACCACGAAGGATATCAATCTCAAACCAACTATAGTAAGATTCGATAAAATCAGGTACTGCAATCCATTTCAGTCCAATATGCATGCACTCACAAATAACCACGGGAGATCTGTGACCGGATTAATAACAAGTAGTTCTCTTTGCATGTGTGGTTTGGCACTATTGCACGGCTGACAGAGGCTATCGCAGAGTCAATGTCCCATGTCATAGAGGGCCAATACACAACATCCCGAGTTCTTTCCATTGCAGCATCTGTTCCAGGATGTCCCTTGCGTAGTTGCTGTACATTCTCCTTGCGTAAGGATCACGTACCACAACTATCAGGCCTTTCAGAATGATACCATCATCCACGATCAGCTCATACCTCAAGAGAAAAAAAGGTTTTACTTTGACGCAAAAATCAGGTTTACACCACCCAGACGATAGCTTAAAGAATATTATGGTATTTTTCCACTTTGGCAAATCGGAGCTCGGAAGCTAGAACAGCATTCGTCGAAGATGGGCACGGGCCTTGTGAAGAGGCTTGTTTACGATTGCAGAAAGAGATTTGTGATCAGTTTCAATGATTGCTTCCCTACCATAGATGAAACCATGAATTCTCTTGCATGCATATCCTTGTCCATCCGTGCATATCGAGTTTCAGCTTCTGTTAGGGCTCTTCTGGCACATGCCACAGGGTACCCATCCTAAAGGCATGCAACACCAAAAACCATTCTTTGAAGCTTCCATTGACAGTGTAATGGCTTTACAGGATCAAAGAACTTAAGGAGTGGAAGTTGAGAGATGTCGAACTTTAGGAGATCAAATGCTTTTTTGATGAAGTGCTTCCCAGCTCCAACGCGTGTCTCTCCGTAGCAGTTCGAGTGGGGTAGCGGTCTTCTCGCCGAGATTTTTGCTTAAGAATTAGTGTAGATAATTGACCTACAAAGGACTCGGCGAAGTGCCCAGGGAAGTCAGGGTCAGGTGTATCTTTAATCGCAGTAAATTTGGCGTCATAAGACTTGAGGCCTGTCTTTGTGTACTAGGACCAATAAAGATTATTTTGTTGCCTCGGTTTACCATCCACCGACCTTTGATTATTATGAAACTGCTTTTATTGACTTCTTAGTAAATTCCTGCGAAAGCATTGTCGCCACCTTACCGAATGCGAGGTTAATTATTGCTGGTGACCTTAATAAACTTGATTTGAAATCTCTTACCCAACAAAGTGGCCTTTCTTGCAACCGAGAATTACCCAGCTTATTAAAGAGAATCAGTTGAATCTGACTAAGGTTAACAAGCAAAAACATGACATGGGCAGCAAATCTTGGTGGAAGGTGATTGATAAATTAACTGGGCGTGTTGGATCAAGTATGAATCTCTCATCTTTATTTACTGTGAACGATATTAACACTCACTTTCAGTCAATCAACATAGACATAAATGATGTTGAACCTGCCCTGTTGGAGATTATGCCAGAGCTTCCAAAAGTGCCTGTGATTCATGACATATCGGTCTTCGAGGCATTACAGCATGTGAAAAGGACTGCCAGTAGCCCAGATGATCTGCCTTTTTGGTTTTGGAAGATATCAGTCACTGACATTACAATGAGACTTTTTGAAAGGTTAATCCTAGATTTCGCATTGAGGAAACCGGTCTCCTGCTTTATTCATTCAGATCAGTTTGCCTATAAGAAGGATTGTGGAACTGAGACTGCGCTATTATATAATCAGCACTTTTGGATGAGATGGCTTGATGGCCATTCTAACTTTGTTAGAGTTCTGTCTTTTGACTTCTCGAAAGTCTTTGACTCAATTTCCCACAGAGTAGTAACTGAAAAACTTAATAAAGTGCCTGACATTAATCCTTATATTGTTAATTGGGTTATTGACTTTTTACAAGATCGTCAGCAAAGGGTATGTGTAGACAAAGTCATGACCCCATTCTTGCCTGTCAATCGAGGTGTGCCCCAAGGCACTGTTCTGGGGCCTGTACTTTTAGCCATCATGGTTAATGATATAAGTCCCACCTCCCAGAATACCTTAATGACTAAATACGCTGATGACATTACATGTAGTATACCCGTTGGGCCTAATGTCAATGTGGTGCCTCTGAGGAGGTAGAGAATATTAAAGTCTGGGCAGAGGAGAATTTGCTGAAACTTAATCTAAGGAAGACCAAGGAGCTGGTCATAAGAGGAAGAACGCCTTTGCCCCCTCCTGAAAAAATTGTCACCATTAAACGTGTGTCTTTTTTAATGTTCTAGGAGTGACTTTTCAGGATAGTCCTACCAACTGGGATAAGCATTTTGATGATTTGATGGAAAGAGCTCTAAAACGTATGCATATCTTTAGAGTGTGTATAAGAAATGGTTATAGTGTACGTGATCTTGCTCTAACCAAGCAGCCAAGACGAATAATGGCATCCTATGAGCACCTTCATAAGGTCTCTTGGATCAATGCAGATGCAAATGTTTCCGTCTTTCTTCTTTGTCACAACCATTTGTGAAAATGTACTCCGCAGGCTCGGACACGAGTGTGATCAATCCGATTTTGACCATCTTTCACGGCTACGGTTAACTTTAAGGTCAATCCTCGACTTTTAGACTACAGGGAGTTTACAAAGGTCACCAAAAATAAATCTTTGTACTCGTATAGTATTGCTCCAAGCATGGCATCAACGGTGTTGTTATAGTTTCACTGTTATTTAACTACTATTATTTTCAATTGTGCTACCTTTTAGTTATTTATTTCATATTATTTTTGCTTTTTCTTTACTTATTTTCTTTTTATTGACTTAAGAACCTTCAACCGTGCATTTGTTTATGGGAGATAATTATTGTATTGTTGCCCACCTAGAATAGCTCCGCCAATTGTGGGAAAAATGGTCCTAAATTGTTTGGAAATTGAATAAAAGGTTGTTGTTGTTGTTGTGTCAACATCATGAACCTCGCTGTGCAACTGAATGAGGGAAGCCGTTCAAAATTCAGCTCTGAAATTGTTCTGGAATTTCAAAAATAAATTGCTTTGAGGAAGAACGAGCATCCAGTTCGACTTTTCGGGACAAGTAACTCTGGGACTGTGGAAGTAGCGATAGAAAACTCAGTAGGGTAGGGAAGGGAGTCCCAGACAAGTACGTTGCGTTTCGTCTTGGCACAAAAAAAGCCCTTTTAGGGGCAACCAACGCAGTTGCACAAGTAAAAATCTAGATTGAAGTTTGTGTTTGATTTACCACAAAATCTTAGGAAATAAATTTCTAAAGCTTTGCTTTTTACCTGGTAAAGCTCCCAGAACAACCTAGTCTCTGCTTTGCCTCTTCCCCACTTGGCCAAAATTTTGTCAGGTGAATTTATGTGTGAAAACTTGCGGACAACTGAAGTCCATTATTCATTCCAGCTAATTTTTAAAATTGTTCTTTCACTACTGCCTCAAAATGAAATAAGGCTGCTATCAAGTTTCTTCTGCTATTCGAGGATGGTTTCTTTATTTGGTTTTGGGTTGAGGAAAGCGTCGCCAAGGGATTCAAAGAAACTGAAAGTTGAACATGCTCACTTACTGGCTTTCAGGAGCTGTACCCAACGTGAGTCTGAGTAATTTTTACAGTTCTTGTCTCGTTTTAGCTTTGTTGTAACGTCAGGCGTAATTATTTTATGCAAGGGAGATTATTCTCTCTTGTTTCATGTCATGACCTGTATTAAAGATTTGAGACAGAGAGACGATATCTATGGCCTTGCGTTTAATATACAAAAGCTTAAATTAATTTTCTGGTGGGAAATGGTAAGAGAAAGGTTTAGAGCATACGAAGACTTACAAGAATAATTTGGAATAACGACGGCGTTTTTGGTTGTTTCATAAGATGAAGGATTATATTGAGCTCTGCAAGCTAAGTGAAATAGTCATAACATTATCTATAATTTACGTAAACGTTGTCAGGTCAGTTAAGACTTATTTATTTGATTGTATGAGATTACGGGAGCCCTGGACGAATTGCCAAGAAGTATAAATTCAAAGAACTGAAAGATATTACACCGACAAGAGAAAACTTTCCTCATAATGGAGGCTGTTTTCGAAAATGTACTTCGCAACCTGCGGATCTACTTATCATTCTTTATCGAATAGAATCCAGAAGTAGCAAAACCTCAGACGAATTGCGAGCGTGTATTGAGAAAGCTTAAAATGTGGTTGTAACTTAAAGTGTGTAAATATGTCGATAATTTGAGTTTCCTCCAACAAACACTCAATAAATTCGTAATACTTATAATCTTGACATGAAGTGGTGTCAGATCCTTAAGCAAAATATTGCAAAAAAAAAAGGCTTAAACGCCGACATATTCTTTCGAGTGCTCACGAAAAGGGGAAAGAATCTTCTCTCGGTCAACGCGTGAAAAACCATGGTAACGGTTGATTGACGCCCACCAAAAGGCAGATTTCAACCGAAGAAAAAACCCTTTCAGGGCGCGTGTTAATGGTTACCACTGTAACCTTTTTTTTTGCGCACGTGTTTACACATTAACTTACATTGTTCATGCTCGCCGAAAACAAATTGCATATAAGATTTGTCAATTAGTTTACCGACAGACTCGCCACTTTGCTAAAGTTTACGTCTACACAACACGCAAAGTTCAGTTTGTGTAGAGTACAAAATTATGGTTTTAATATTTATAGACGGAAATGTTAAATAAGTTATCAACCTTCCTGGGTCTTTCCGCACAAAGAAACAAAAAGTACAACTTAGACTAAAGGTTACATAGTATCAGATATTATGATGTATGATCGAAAAGGTAGTTTACAAGGATCGGTTTGTCTATAATCGGCCTAACTTGCCATATACGCAGAATCCCTTTGAGAAGGAAAGACTGACCTGTAAACATAAACTGTAAACTGAATGCAGCCAAGGAGTTTCGTGAATGGCAACTAGCCTTCATAAAACAATTAATTTTATAGGCTAATTAGCTTCTCAAGGCCGGTTCTAAAGTACTGCTCACATTCCACAGGTCAAGAGTTCAGGTCACTACTCCATCGATAAATTACCAAACCACAAATATTCCCATCGATCTGATAGGGCTAGGGGACACTTTTAATGCTATTCGTTTATCTGGATCTTGGTGACCTGTACTCTGAACTGTGGAAAATGACCTGTATTTTAGACCTGCCGCCAAGACTATTACTGTGATCGAATTTGATTTATAATTTTCTCTTTTTGTTTGTGTTTTTGTTTTTTTTTAAATCAGTTAAGTATTAATTTCTGGATTAGCATAGGATGAAGCTTATTCGTGTAATTTCTAGGTTTTCAGAATGTAACAGCATTTAAAAGGACGCTCAACTTTTAGCCTTGTCTAGTTAAATATGTAGTTAGATATATGTATAGTAGTTAGATGTATAGCTAGATATATATACTGATGCTCCACAAACGATAAATAGCGGTTAAAAAAAAAATTCTGTAAGCTAGTTAACCATAAGCAATGTGGAAAATGACTACATGCGTTTGCTTAAAAGGCTTCCGAGAAGAGAATTATACGAGTCCCTATCAGATCTACACAGATAAGACTAGTTAAAGTACGGTAAAGCGTGCGGAAAAAATGTGCAACTTGTTTTACAAAATTGCTGCAAATTGAGTTCAACAGCGGTATTGCGCTTTTTACCACGCCTTTATCAAGCCTGTCTTGCAACAAACTAGGTTGTTGCAGGTTGCCAAAGTAGTAAGGAGTGAGTAGTTCTACTTTTTTTACAACAAACTCTTTACGTTACGTTTGGCGCGTTTTACCAACCCAGGGCAAACCTCTGTTGCAGCAAGTAATGTAACTCCCGTACACGGCGTGATTTCTGCGTCATTTTATCCAATCAGAAGTCAGTATTAACGCAGTTTCCAAAAACCTGATTTGTTTCGCGAGACAGGTTAGAATGTGGGTGATAAGACGCGCAAGATTACTTTCCAACCCGTTTTGCAGCATAATGTTGCAATAAGTAACTCGAGAATTGCATGGCTTTGTGACTGTACTAGGATTTTCAAAGTAAAAGTTAGTGCTGGCATTGAAACCGGAAGATATTGCTGGTAGGTAACAGCAACGTAGGAACTTGTAGCAAACTTAACGTCACCGAAAATGACTGGTACAAACAAATTTTGATGAGAACATCAAAGAGCCGATTAAGGCTTGAAACCAAATTTTTAATAGAGCATGCAACTTCGTCCATTCATGGGTCAATACACTTACTCATAGAAAAAGATTTTGTTTGGCTGATGAGGCAAGACATTTGACTATTAATATATCCTTTACCCAATTTGGTCTGACTGTCGAAGAAAAAAAAATGAGCGTTCGACCAGAATAGAGTCGTGCAAAGCTTATTCGTTGACAAGGAACTGTACAACACTTAACTTACCACTACTCTTGCACCCAATCTGCGAACGACTCAAAGCGGTTTCACGTAACATCGTAATTATAAACCAACCAACCGCCCAGCCTTCTGTCTTTCATCGGACAAAATTTGGAGTAATTTTTACACTTTATTCACTGCTTGCTAACACCCTCCAGCAACAAGTCAGGGCATGGGTACATTGTGCAGAAGAAGAAATCAAATATGAAATGTCTGTGATGTGAAATTCCATTAAAAAAGAAACTACACAGCAGTATTGTTCCTACCTTTGTAAGTACGTCTGTTTGGCACTCTTTGGCGCTAATTATAACTAAGAAGACGTCACACATAATGAATGTACCGGATGATAGTAAAGCAACCAACTTCGTAAGTTTACGACCTTTCATTCCACAAATTTTTTTAATTTTCGTTATGTAATTAGTAGTAAGCTGGACCCGCGATCGCTCGTAAGCAATTAGAGCTCCCCTAAACACGCTAATTTAAAATACATTGTATACCCTGTTCGCGTGTAAAGGACTTATTTTAAAATTGTGGGGAAGCTTGGTTCAATGCATGGTCTAGGATTTGCACAAAAACACGGGTACATGTACGTACTTTCGCGTGATTACCCAAATTTCATGAGTGGTGCGCCATGAGCATGTTGCAAAAGTATTTTTGGTTAAAAAATATCTCCACTTTCCTGCCCTTCCCGTTTTTACTCAAGGTCTACTAATCCGTTTGGAGGAGACACGACAAATACAGGGTGTCCCAAAAGTTCGTTCCTCTACTTTGTAAGTCTGTAGTGTAACTTACAATTATACTCGTGAAACAAATCATTTATGCAAAAGTTGTTTATTTCAGTCTGATAAAATATCATGTATTTTTTGCGCCTTCTTTTTATTGGAATATTCAATCTTTGCATTTTCCCCCCAAATGTGTGCACACGAGTTTATATTTTTCCCGCCAAATGTTTGTCGTATTTTGTGTCCTGAATTGCCCACAATCTTTCCTCAGTTTTGTGAATATCATGAAAGATGCACCCTGTTAATGCTAAGAAGCTCAGCTACTTAAGAGCCCAAGCGTCTATACTTAGATCTACTGGTTTGTCAGTTAAAGAAATTTCCAAAAAGCTGAAAAAATCTGAAAGTTGGGTAGTGAAATGGTCGTCAAGAAATGACGGGTTTGAAGACAAGAAAAGAACGGGAAGACCGAAAATCCTTAATGAGGCAGCTAAAAGAATTCTGAACAAAGCAGAGTACAAAAGGGGAACCTCGACCAGACAGCTTTCACAACGATTAGCAAGCAAAGGCCATGTTGGGGAAAAAACACCATCTGGAGGTTTATGAAAAGCGAAGTTTGGAGACCGCTGAGAAGGCAAAAGAAACCTCTGCTCACAGCCAAGCAGCGTGCTGCTCGACTGAAATTTGCTAAGCAGTACAAAAACCTCACTGTGGAAGAATGGGATGATTTCCTTTTTTGGGATGAATGTCCCAAATATTTGTTTCAGCTGCCCAATCCAAAAAATGATATTGTTTGGGTTCTCAGGTAAGCCAAGTTCCTCCAGCATATCAGGTTAAAAAAACTTCAAAGTGGATCATATTGGGCGGAATGACAGGCCGCGGTCTCACTGGGATACATTTTTTACCCCAAGGACAGACTTTGACTGCCGATTACTACATCAACAACATATTAGAGAAAGAAGTGACGCCTGTACTTCACCGTAAAAATGTGAATGAAGCAACAGACAAGCGAAAATTGTTCAGCTCCATTCGCCACATGACGCTCGTCCAAGACGGGGCGCCAGCACACGCAGCCAAGGCCACCCAGGCATGGTGCAAAAAAAACCTGCCAAATTTTATAGAGAAAACATGCCGGCCCCCAAATTCCCCAGATATCAACCCTGTGGAGAATCTTTGGAGCATAATGGATGAAGTTGTCTATAAAGACCCAACTCCTAAAACCATTAAGGATCTGAAAAGACGGCTCAAACAATCCTGGAAGAAAATCCCGCTCTCCACGCTTCATGACTTATCCCATTCCATGCCGCAACGGCTTCGGAACGTGATAACAAACAAAGGAGGGCATGCCGGATATTGACTTTTTGAATATATGTACTCAGTAAAGCAATAAACGTCGTTAAGAAATTTCATGCAGAATTATAGTTTCGATCAAAAGTTATGTCGCCTGTAATAAGAGGAACTAACTTTTGGGACACCCTGTAATAGCTTAAATCTATCGTTTATCGAAATATAGAGTGTGATACTTACAACGCCTGCAACGAAGATAGATCTGCAAATACTCCGGGTACGAGCTTTTTGACCATGTTCTTCCCCAAATTCCTGTAACAAAATATAGTACATTAATAATTAAATATGGGAAAACTATCACCGCACGTTTATATGTCAGTTTCTTGTAAATAAAAAATGTGATAGTTTGTTCCAGCGGAAAATGTCAAGAGAATAATCTAGAGTTCCCGAAATAAGTGTTGTCACAGTTATCCTATCCCCACTGACATTACTAAGGAATGTATCGACGAGTTATTACCAGCTGTTTCTAGCATGGTTAACCTGTCTCTAGACACTGGCCAGTTCCCAGACATCTGGAAAGAGGCTTTAGTGAGGTCAACTAAAAAAGAACTATCGTGAACTATCAGTAACCTCAAAATTATCTCCAAAGTGACCGACAAAGTAGTGGCTCAACAATTATCCCACCACATGTCTTCCTGTCAACTGTATCCTGAGTTTCAGTCAGCATACCGAATGTTTCATAGTACGGAAACGGCTCTGCTACACTGAGTGCTAATTTGCATAATAGATCATTAAATTGCGGCCTTATCTCTCATCGACCTTGCAAGGATCATATATCTAATGTGTCTTTAGAAGGCTTTTTACAGCCATAGAAATGATTTAGAAATATCAAAACAATCGTCCTTCATTTGGGGAAGTAGAATGTAAGCGAAGTTTCGTATAATTTTCCCTGGCTTACTTGAAACTCATAGCACGTTGACGCGTGTCGGGTTGTGAAAATTGCAACATTTCTGTCAACAACGGAAAGTATCGCGTCGGATTTCAGCCCTGTGACTATAAATATTTCCAAAAAAGTGCTCTTAGGTACCGACTTCGGCCTTCGTTTTCTCAGCTTATATTTAACGAAAATGCTTCATTTTTGGAATTTGAGCTCAGGCTAAGAGTACATTTCAAATAAGCGATTTTATAAGCATGATCATTTTTTGACTTTATAGCAGTTCTAATACCTTAAGCTTTTTGTTCCCGGGACAGTTAAAGGTCATGTACTCTGTTTTGCTGGTGTTGATAAGGAGACCCATGCTGGCCCCTGGTTCCACGGTGAGGGACAGTTGCACCTGAGCTCCTTGGATGGGAGGTTCTAAAGGCGCATCTCGTCGGCATTGTCAAGGTCATTTACGAGCTGTGCTTGATGGCTAGTTGACCTCTTGGATGGGTCAACAGGCCGCTATTACCACCTTTAGACAACAATTAGGAGAAATGGGGCGAGCATGCTCCCTTTGAGGACACCGGTGGTTACTTCGAAGCTCTCGGACAAACGGCCATCGACTAAAACAGCAGTTTTTGGAACTATTCCCCAGGAATCTGATTGCACTAACGATCGTGATAGGATGACATGATGGCCAAGTGTGGCAAACATAGACTCCTCGCCACTACAGTAAAAACTCGCGCGTAAGAACCGTAATTTTCGTAATTTTCAGGTTCTTACTCGCGGGTTTCTACTGTAGTGGTAACTGTTTTGCCTGCAGGCCTTCAATAATTCGTCGGAGAGTGTGAATCTGTTGTGTGCAGCTGCTCCTACGCCTGTAGAAGGTTTGGTTGCGCCCTAGGATTGGATCTACGAAGATTTGAATTTCATTTAGTAAGATCTTATTGTAGACCTTAGCGCAGATAGACACAAGGTTAATCCCACGATAGTTGCTCTTCACGGGGAGGTCCCCCTTCTTTTAGGTGGGGACAATAAGGTTAGTGATCCACTGTTCCCGGAGTATCTTCTCTAAATATACCTCGAAACAGAAGCTGTGAAAAACGGAAACATGGCTTCACCCTCCATTTTCAGGACTTCAGGTGTGATGGGGCACTCTAGTCCAACTGCCTTGTTCAACTTAAGAAACTTGATCGCCTTTTTTATCTCGTCTAATGTAGGTTAGGCTGTGTTGATTGGCAGAACCGATTCATCTGGCGGTAGTCTAGCAGTATCAATAGCGGTGGTGTTGTTCAGAAGAGTGCTACGGTACTTCTTCCATTCAATGAGAAGTTCTTGGTGACTAATTGGGTCACTCTTGTCCCTCTTTTTGACCCGTTCAGATCCTTCAATCTCTTCCTGGAGGCGGCTGTGTTAAGGAGCAGGTGCTTGCTTTTGGTGTCATTTCGAGCTTTCCGCAAGTCTTCTGTTTCTTTGGAGACCATGTTTAGTACGCTATTTGAAACACACTAGCCAACTACCTCTTCTGCAGTGCTTCTTGTTATACTTTAAAACTGACTGGACCTGATGATGATTAGCTCATCATTTGAGGTGGAGGAAAAGCTGTTCGATAGCTTTAGCAGAAATTCTGAGGTCAGCACAGGGTTCGCGAGTCTCTTCCAATTCTACTATTTGCGACTTACAGTTTACCTTTTGTAGTTCTAAGACTCACTTTAAAAGTCACAGTTAAGATGCGGTGATCGGAGTCCAGCTCTACACTATTGTACGTTCTATAATTCCTGACAGAGTTAGTCCCTGGATTGATCAAGTCGAAGGTTAGTTGCAAAGCAGAAATTAAAAAGTCTTTCGCCGTCAATGCTTGTTGTGAGGACCCACACCTCTCGGAGCTTTTTCGTGATTGCCTTGGCCTAATCTAGCGTTTAAATCTCCAAAAACAAGATTAATATCGTGACTGTTGACCTTGACGGATGTATGGGTGTTGAGAGGGTTGTAGAATTCATACTCATCGTCGGTGTTGGCCGACTCTTTTGGAGCTTAGACTATTGTTACCACGCGTCTCGGGTTGCCGTTGGAAAATACAGAGATGATGCGGTCCGAGAGTTGTTTTGAACCGGAGATGCTTTTGACCAATTGTCTTTTAACAAGGATTCCCTCTCAACCCCTTCGGCATTTGGAAACGGAATTTTGGATGAACAGCCAGTTCTTGTCATCAGACCACAGTTCTGTTATCGGAGTGAATGAGATAAGGGGATGCTTTTCTACACCAATTATTTCAAGACCTGCTTCTACCACCTGCCTCAACCGCAGCACAACTGATTTAACTTGCCCAGCTGGTATAAGGACCTGACATTATAGGTTGATATGATAATTGGCTTGCTAAGGGAGATTTGGTGAATATCAGCCGCAGCAGACCTCTTCGTTTTCCGTATTTGCTTTATGTAGTAAGAATAATGATTACAACTTCCCTTGACTGAGGTATTATTGTTGGGAATGAGTAGCTGCGGACTGTTTCCACTTTGTCCCCTGTCTACGGCGATACTTTGATGGTGAGTATGTTTTTGGAGGGTAGGATACAATTTAAGCCTTTGTTGCTGTATGGTGTCATGTCCCTTGCATGTTGGCCGTTGGTACGAGAACGAGCTCATCTGTCACTTAACAGGTCTTATTTTAAGTCCTGGCGGGTGGCATGCTACATTCTTTTCACCAGCGAACGCTGGTGGGAGAGCCATTTTAGACGCCGACTACCCGTCTATGAGGCAGGCGGATATGGGTTACAATGTTACTAGTAGCAGGATTACCCTTGACCTGACCTCCATCATTATACCATGGTACAAGAGGTCTTTCTATGAACGTCTTTGTTACCAGTGGTGCATGATGATCTAGTATCTTGAGTAATGTTCTGTTGGACAAAGTACCCAAATCTTTAAGATAATCAGTACTGTCTCGACTAAGGGCCGAACACATTGGCTATCTCTTTGACAATAAACGATGGTTTCTCAAATCACAGATCAGAGTAAAGTGACCAGAGAAGTGGTAATCTACAGTGGGAGTGGTTGATATTAGCTCATTTACATCTCTTGTAATCACTAGATCCAGGATATGGCAGGACACCTGGGTTAGTTTATCAACATGTTGCCGGTTGCAAACCAATGGACTCCAACTAACCCAACAGGCGTGTATGTTTAATATCACTAGGAACAACAATACGAATTTCATAATCACCAGTAATTAACAATGGTTCAAGTGACATTATGAATGATTCCAAGTAGGTAGTGAATTCTTCAGAAAATGTGGCTGTTGTAACCGGATCTTTAGAGGAATACAGTATCCTATAAATAATCAAGATCACAAGTTAACAAGATCCACAGTCCACAATCCATTCCCAACACTTTCTCGCCAGCATCTACTTTTTGAAGTCAAGAGAGAGAAATTTATTAATAGTGCTGTTCCACCACTAGTGCGGCCCACGCGAGAATGGTCCATCATTTTAAACCGAGGAGGTGATTTTTTGATCCGATAACCAATATCATGCTGAGAAAACCAATTCTCAGTCACTGCGAAAATATCCGTTTTCATAGTACATGCATAGCACAGAAAATCAGGCGACTTGTTCCTGAGAGGTTATACTTTCGTACAGCATAGTCTAAGCTGATCTCTCTCATTGCACAGACTAGCTGGCATTTGTAGGGGCTGTTTCGGAACAACAACCAAGTTATAAACGTTGACACCCTTAGGGTGCAATGAACTGAGAAAAACCTGATTCAGTGCTAATTCTATCAAATAAATTAACAGTTCTTATTCTCATACGACCAGTTCTCCTCCCTATATATTTGTAAGATTCCACAGTCCTTTAATGCTTTCAAAGTAGGCATGAACAATTTGAGGTGACATGATACACGTATGTCCAATAAACAGTTACGAGAATCATGCAGATCTCTTCGATCAGCGCAATTCTTTACTCCATACACAGCCTCACTCAATACTTCGTAAATATTCCCAGAGAGTGAGCCAATTAGAGTGCTTAAAACACCAATTTAAGATGACTCAGAGTTTGCATATAGTAAACTGCTATTATCATCATTATCATTTTCTTTTTGTATTTTTGGTATTATGACGTAATGCAGTTGAATTGAGTGAATATATTCGTATTTATTTAGTTTCACCACTTTCATTGTCTCGGTAACTGTGGCATTTGACATTGTTCTACTTATATAAAAGTGGATGTGCGTAGAGACACAGGTACGCAGACTGTGATACCTACAAGAACTGCAACGAAGAGAGATGTGCAAATACTCCTGGTACGAGCTGTTTGACCATGTTGTCCGACAAATCCCTGTAAGAAAATATAGTAAATTAATTATTAAATATGGGAAAACTATCCGTCCACGTTCATATTTCATTTTCTCTTTTTTTAAAAAATAATGTGATTGGGAAACAGGCTCACAAATTTAATTCAGCTTTCATTATTTTTTGGTTTTTTTTGTTCTGTGTGCATAGTTCAGAAAACACAATCAGTTCAGTGACCACACAACAGTTCAATAACCACGCTAGTGGTTCAATGACCACACAAGTAATTCAATGACCACAACAGTAGTTCACCGAGAATAGACTACATGAAGCTGGGGGGAAAATAGCCACAAATACGTTAGCATTTTAGTATAAATGTGTAGCATAAATACTAAATACTCATTCAGCGATGACACAAAAACCAAACTGAAAAATAGCTATGGCACAATGTTATTTAGTTCTAGTGAGCTCCCTAAAGTAAACAGGAACTGAGACTGAGGGCAATTTAAAATTTAAATAGTCTGTTCAGAAGGTCTGTCATTCTCATCAGGGGCACATTGAAAATAAATAAATAAATAAATTATTATTTGGAGGTAGCAGATCCATAGAGTGGTTCCTCGTCTACCTGAATACTGGTCGAATTGGAATTTGGAAATGTTGGTTTTTGAGGAGAGGGTACAACAGGAGAACCAACAACAAACTCAACCCACATACGGCGTCGCCGCCGGGATCTGAACCCGGGCCACATTGGTGGGAGGCGAGCGCTCTCACCACTGCGCCATCCCTTCCTTCCCTAAAAACAGACCTGGAAAGGTAACACGGCCCAAAAGAAATCGATATACTAAATAACCCGACAAAGCTCGCGCTGCGAAAGTAGAAAAAATAACGGTTAACGGTCGAAGAAACCTTGTTTTTTGACTCTTTTTCCACACGTTTCAAGCTGTGGTACCACAGCTAGCTCTAAGTGCCTAACATCAATCCATGTTTAATAAATAGGTAATCTTTACCGCACAAGTCCAGACTTTCCAAGGTTTCGTTTTTTTTTTTGGCCGTGTTAACTTTCCTTTTCAGCGCTGACTCTCTTTCCAGGTCTGTTCACTGTGCCCCTGATGCGAATGACAGACCATCTGAGCTGACTATTTAACTTTTAAATTGCCATCCGTCTATGTTCTTTAGTGAGCTCACTAGAACTATATAACATTGTGCCATAGCTATTTCTCAGTTTGGTTTTTGTGTCATCGCTGAATGAGTGTTTACCACTTAGTCTATTCTACACATTTATATTAAAAAAATCTAACGTATTTGTACGTGGCTATTTTCCCGCAGCTGGATGCAGTCTATTCTCGGTGAACTACTGTTGTGGTGATTGAACTACTAGCTTTGTTCTTGAACTGTTGTGTGATCACCTAGCTGATTGTCTTTTCTGAACTATGCGCACAAAATACATAAAACAAAAAAAATAAAAAATCTTTTTCTCAAATACCTATGCTTTCATCTGAGCGTGGACACGTGGCGATTATCATGTTTTAATTGGGTGCACACATGACTTGGTTGGCAGTGAGTGACATTTAGGCAGTGAGTGACATTTAGGTGTTCTTCGGAAAAATTGATCCTGATCTGTTGAGTTATGGTCCTGCTCAAAAGGGGCTTCGCATCAATGGTAACGATAAAGATTTTCGAACCTTTAAAATGGGAATTTCAGAAGGGGAATAGACCGCTTATCCTAAACATGGTGACTAAAATACGTAATCTTATAATGAAATCTATCACTACATGGAGAGGTTGATGTAAGTCCAGAAAAGTTGTGTTAATGCAAGAACAGATATATCTGCGGCATTTCACAGAGGCGCATTTTATGAAAGCGAGCCATCATCCTCCAGAACCCTCAACAAAATTGCTGCAGTGTTCTACCAACTGAGCTATGAAGACACCCATACTTTAGCAGCAAGCCAATTTTTTTACTTCTTTTTTTAATTCGTGAGGGGAATGAAACATGAAATAAAGATAATGTGAACTGTAGAAATACAAGATATGATCGTCACAGTTGTAATAGCATACTAAGCAATTGTAAATTAACCCAAATAAATCTCAGGAGCTGTAATGCGATTCCGCCACTGTTTTGATTGTGGTCTTGAATCCCGATCCAGTTTCTTCGTCAATATGAAATTTAACGGAAAATTAACGTTTGCCTTGGCAGGTGTGGGTGAACGTTATGTTTGATGTTTTTGCACGCAATTGCAATTGCAATTACTGTGTATTGCCATTGTTATTTAGGAAAATATATATCTCCAAGCAATTAATAGTCAGAACCTGTACGTAGCCAAAAATAATGTCTATCGTCTGTGGATCCAAACAGCTGCAAATACAAATGTCATTACAACTTACAAAATTTGCAATGAAGAGAGGTCTGCAAAGATTCCATGCGGGATTTCCTCGATCATGCTGTTTGACAATTTCCTACAGCAAACGAAAAATCGTAACCTACATTAATGTGTACATGTCTCCTTATTTTTGGTTTTGAAACAAAAAAAGTATTTATTTTAACAAAAAAACAGTGCATTCTTTTAAATTTTTTAATTCAAACTAAATCAAAATGGTCAATCTGTACAAAACAATAGGCCATTTGCATGATGGCGTCATTTTACTACTATGACAAGGATCCTTCAGGGTTTTGCTTTTTTGTGCAAATTAGGGCTTTTGTTATTTAAACCTTACTGGGGCTACCAAATTTAAATATGAAAAGAAAACCGACAAGAATTCTCGTCGTAGTAGTAAAACGACGCCATCGTGCAAACGGCCTATTCGCAGTATGAAGGCGTTCTATGGACTTGAAAAAGGCCGTAAGGCCCGCGGGGACGGTGCAGGTATTACCATTTTAATCCCTTTTGACAAAGTTAGTCTTTCCATGACTACAAGGAATCCTGCCAAACATTGTGCTGCACGTTCAGAATTTTTTGTTGTGTTTATTTTCTCTTTTTTGTTGTGGTTGAGTTGAGCTTGGTAGTTGTGCTACAATGGTAAACAATTCTTGATATGCGACGATTTCGCCTGAAAAGCCTATTTCCGCAGGTACCCGTACACAGGCTCAACCCTTGTGTCAAATTGAAAGGAATTTCTGGCAGATATTCTATCATTTGAACTGGACGGTTAATTCGAGACTTCAATAAACTTGGGTAGACTAAAAACCTTAAAGAGAATCGGTGTGGAAACTTGCCTACCAAAAGCACAGCTTCGTAGTTTCAGGTCAGCGGTCTCACCTCCCAATGTCTACTGTAATATAGTATGGTCGTGACTAGAATGGATACTCCAAAATCAGGTATCCGCTCGGAGACTGGAACTGAATAAAATTATTTTTCGGCAAACCGCTCCGACTCTTTACGACCTTGTTGTGTTGAAAGATTAAGTATACAAAGACTGAAAAGGCTGAGATGAGAATGGTTACTCCAAAATATGGATCAAAGCCTACATAGAGGTTAGTTGTTTTTCACGTTCTTTGTAAGAATTTAGTGCAAGGAGCAAACAATGTCTGTTTAATTACAGTACCACTACCGCGAGTGCCGTGTAAAGCTTATTCATAGCAAAGTATCTGTTTGGATAGCTCAGAATAAGGTGGATACTTCAGAATAAGAATGACCAAAATATGGAAGTTTTGGCCATCTGGATTATTATTACTGAACTTCCCAATACAAACATGATTGTTACGTTTACAAAGAGGGTACAAATACAGTTAAGGTCAGTTAACCATCTTGTAATTTTATGGGTTAGTTGATTCCAAGTGTTAACAATAGTGAAAAACACATAAGGGACCTGTCACTTCTTTGAGGCGGGGGAGGGCTGGTGCAGTTGGGGGGAAGGTCATTAAATTTTATGTAGCCAAAAAGGGGAGGGTCACCAAAAATTTAAGCTGGGCTTTGGGGAGGGCCATACCATTTTTAGCAAACATTGGGGTTCACTTAAAATAAA